AGGAGCAAATGAAAATCGTGTCGGTATACGACGTTTCGGATAATCCGAAAGGTTTTTGTTTCAGATTTTGATCCGACAGTTGGACTCACGAAATTACATCGCATACGTTACATCCCTTCTGTGCTTTTCACACCAAAAAAGCGGCGTCACGTGACATTAGGTGACATCACTTTTGATAATTGTTTTTTTACCCTTTGATCGAGCAACAAAACTGACATCTTTTTTTACGAGGAGTCATGTTTGCATAGACCACAATACCTGCAGTCATAATGCAAATAAAAACATAACTCTGATAATGTATGCACTGTCCTTGAAGTTGATTGGTCCACACCCGAGACAGCTTTCCTTAAGAGCCTAGTCTCACATGGTGTCGGACCAGTTATCACGAGGACACGTTGCGTTATTGCATCATATCAATGAGCTAAAAATCCGACAAAAGTTCCGATATTGTCTTCATGCCTGGTACGGACAGGTCGTATTCCATATGGCCCATCAACGCTATGTTGACTCAAGTACAATAATTTTCGTGTGCGATCTTTGTGCCGTATTGCGTACAATTTAACAGTGCCCATCACCGCACGTGTGTCGCCGTCCCCCCCCCCCCCCCCAGGGCTATCTGCAATACTCGGTGCTCTTCTACGGCTACTACGGCAACGACCGCAAGCTTGGCCGCTCCGGGTACCGCCTGCCCCTCGCCTACTTCCTTGTGGGCATGGCGGTGTTCGCCTACAGCTTCGTGGCGCTGCTGCGCAAGTGAGCGTCGTGGCGTCGTCCCCAGTAAACATGAAATGTCGTGATTTTTGATAATTGGTTTTTTTTACCCTTCTATCTGGCAACAAACTGACACTTTTTTTACCTTTTTTGTTGCCAGATAGAAGGGTACAAAAACCATTATCATATTTTTACTGGCAAATGAGGTTCCAATGGTGTCGTGATTTTTATTTATTTTTATTTTTTACCTACGTGACTTTACCGAAAAAACCCAAGAATATGAAACGTCGGGCCAACGTTGGTCCAACTTTTTGTCGGACGGTTCCGGACACGTGCAACGTTGTCGCGACGTTGGCTTGTTCACTGGCGTGGCAGTGGCTGCGTCAATTTTTGATCGCATAGGATTAGTCCACGTGGGGCCTAAATCTCCTTGTGAATATCGCTGGTGGACTGGGGTAGATGTCGTGCGCCTTTGACTCGTAGCCGCAGCCAAAGAGACGGGCATACTGGATGTGGTGTGTCAGGTGCAAAAGTATTTAGCAGGTCACCAAAGTGGACACACCAGGCTGAAATTAGGCGCTGCTGTTTACCAATCATGCATGTTACACGAGGATGCGTCCGCGAGATTCACGAGATGACTGTGATGCGTGGTCAGTTTCAGTTAAAGTTTACAAAATCAGCGGACGCAACCAATGAATTACGCGCACCAAAGAAACGCATCATTTAATACGTTTTAATGACAATCAGCCGCACTGATTATTATTCGCTCTTCCCTAAAAATAAACTCAATTCTTTTCCCACGCTCACCCCCAACTCCCCCTCATCAATAATACCATCCATCCCTCCTTCCCAACTTACCTACCCATTCATCGCACTCCACTCATCGTCAACCACTCAGTCACTTCGGCGTTTATTTCACGCACCATCGTATCCGTCTCCCACTTTCGTCCTTCCCATCAACTCATCCCACCGCGTCGCTACTACGTGAAGCTGCCCATTCTCTGTTGAGCACCTCGGTTGGGGCGCTGGATAAACTTTAGAAGTAAGATAAGAAACTGAGAGCGTGCCGTGGCGGGAAGCCGGATGTTCCTCTCCGCCGCTGCGTCCCTTTTTTTGCGCAGGATGGCGAAGAACTCGAGGCAGAGCCTGAGCAGCGCCTCGGATGAGAACTTCACGTTCTGCTGGAAGGTCTTCTGCGCCTGGGACTACCTGATCGGCAACCAGGAGACAGCCGAGAGCAAAGTGGCGGCAATCGCCACCACCATCCGCGTGAGGGCCCGAGCACACCGCCAGCACCGCTGTCTCTCTCCCTCCCTCCCTCTCTCCCTCAAACGAGAGAGAGACAGGAAGAGTTTCAAGTGTTCAAATACAAATCTAGAAATATGTTGAACTTCTTTGCCACCGTACGGAGCCAACCGTGCTAATCGGAGTTGCGGGAGGGAGGGCCGCTAAACTAACCACAAAAAGCAGTTCTAAAGGAATGAGTTTAAATCTAGATTTAAAAGTGCACGGCCAACCAGCAAAAAAAGTGTCACGTTGACAAAAGTAGTGAACTATTTGTCTTTTGTCAACGTGACACTTTTTTTGCTGTTTGGCCGTGTCGGGTGGTGGAGGGTTACGACACATTTATAAATCACGCGATCTAACCAAAAACCTTTATTATGACTAAGCACCCAGCTAGTTAAGAGCATTGGGCAGCGCTAATACCAACTGTTCGCCCTGTCTCAGCGACGGACATTCTACACTTGTTTGGCAGGAACCGCCTGACCCATAAGAAACTCTATTTACATTTTATTGAAAATCACGTGATCGTCTTTTGTTGTTGTTCGTGTAACAGGAATCAATCCTGGAAGAACAAGAAAAGAAGAAGAGTGAAAACAGGTGCGTGCGATCTACTTTTCCCCGAAGCGACCGCACGCCCCTGGAAGTCTGCATCTCTAATCGTGAATCTCTAATCGTGAATTTTTAGTTTTGATCTTATCTCGCGTTGCCGCGTGTTCCCCCGTGTGGTCTCCGCGTGTCCCAAGGACCCTGCGGGTTTTCCTCCGCATCCTCGCCAACATCCTGGTGCTGCTGTGCCTCGCGGGCAGCATCTACATCATCTACTTCGTGGTGGATCGCTCGCAGAAGCTGGAGCAGATGAAGGACGAGCTCACGCTCTGGGAGAAGAACGAGGCGAGTGGCCCCATCCTCTCGGTCACCGTGATCCGATCGTCGTGAACTGATAACCTACCGATCGCCGCGTATTGATCACCTGCTGATCGGCGTGTATTGATCACCTGATGATCGTCAGGTATTGATCACCTGATGATCGTCAGGTATTGATCACCTACTGATCACCGTGTACTGATTATCTACTGATTACCAACATCCTGGTTCTAACCAGGTGCACACCAAGTCTTGGAGGCAACACGTTTATTTACTGACACAACTTGAACCATTAGCACAACCAACAACGACTCAACGTTCCAAGGTTCACTATGTACATTCCGGGCAACTATGTACATTACGGGTTAACTACGTAAGGTAGTGGTCACCGTTCCTAACCACTAGAACGGAACCACTATACGGTTGAACCAGAACAGCCGGTCGTGTGCGGGCACCGAAGAGCGATGATCGAAGCCCCCGCTCCTGCTCGGACTGGGCTGATATCCGCTGCGGCGTGACCGGGCACGCCCCTGGCCACGACCCCTTCTAGATCCTTCGTGGAGGCTCTAAGTCCATACCACGTGGCCCCTCGTCCGGTCACGTGCTCTCGCGGGTTCACACAGGCTGCCACATTCTGACCCGACCTCCGTGACATCTGGAACCTGCCCTCTAGTGAGCCGCTTAATGTATTTCACCCGCTGGTGCCCGAGAGCGGCACCACGCATCCAGTACCACTCTTCACTCGGTACTGTCGCAACACAGGGGCCGTTCATAAATTACGTCACGCACCTGGGGGGGGGGGTCAGGCATTTGTAACGATGTGTGACGGGAGGGGGGTTTGAGAAATGTGACGTCACATCAAAAGGCGCGACTTTCAATAAATATAGACAACACGTTCTACGTAATTAAATAGATTTTTTTTATAAATGTTTTTTCCCACAACATCAGAGTGCAGCGCCACATTAAATACGCACTACAATGACAATAGTTTAAAGCGATTTGAAGCATGTTTTATTTGGGGGGGGGGGGCAGAGCTTTGTGACGTCATATTTGAGGGGGGGTCTGACTTTTTGTGACGCCGTGTGACGAGGGGGGGGGGTCAAAAATCGTCCAAAATCGCGTGACGTCATTTATGGACGGCCCCACAGTAGTGACACAATTTATGTCACTACACCTTGTACGGATCACCATGTACTGATCACCTTGTACTGAGCAATGTGTACTGATCACCTGATCACCGTGTATCGATCATCTGATCACTGCGTGTCGATCACTGTATACTGATCATCTGATCACCGTGTATAGATCACCATGTACTGATCACCTGATCACCGTGTATCGATCACTGTGTATCGATCACCGTGTATAGATCACCATGTACTGATCACCTGATCACAGTGTATCGATCACTTGATCACCATGTACTGATCACCTGATCACCATGTATCGATCACCATGTACTGATTACTTGATCACCGTGTATTGATCACCTGATCACCTGATCACCGTATACTTATCACTTGATCATTGTATACTGATCACTTGATCACCATGTATCGATCACCATGTACTGATCACCTGATCACCGTTTACTGATCACCTGATCACCATGTACTGATCACCGTGTACCAATTTCCATGAGCCGATCGCCGATAACCGATCGCCAGGTAGTGATTACAGTGAACCGATCACATAGTGCGGATCTCCCCTTGCTCGCACAAACATGAGATGCCACTCATCTCGATCGGTAGCCCTGGAGTTTTGTTGGAAATTCCACATTTATATGCCGAGGAACAGTCCATTCATAGACAACCACTGCATGCACACATAGGTTCACATATGCTGCACACCTGCATGCAATGTATAGTACACCGCACAGAATATCTACGTCCCTTTTGCCAATCCACTGCTGGATGAAGGCCTCGCCGTGACATCGTTTGACCATTCTTGACCACGCTGGTCAGGATCAGTTGGTGAAGATTGGGGGGGGGCTTGGGATGCTCGCCACGGATGTAGCCATGGTCGAGTGTCGAACTCGCGTCGCCAGGTTCATAGTGCGGTGCTTGAAGATCGCTCCCCACCTCCACCGCATACGCAGTTTGTGTATATCTCTGTGTGCGTTGTTGCAGCCTTCGCCCGAAGGACGAGTGAAAGTGATGAACGGTAATTGCTCGACTCGTAGAATGGGAGTGAGTTGAAGGTTAAAGAGAAGCGTGATTTACGGGCGGAGCGCGCCCGTGCGCGTGCGCGTCGCAGGTAACGCCGCCGCGTCGTTTTTTTTTCCGCGGTTGTGCTCTGCGCCTTTCCGGTGTCTTTGAGGCTCTGCTGATCCGTTACTCGGCTTATCTCACAGGGACAGCCGTGGTGCGTGAGCACAGCAACAACAAGAACAACAACGAGGACCCCCCCCCTAAAAAAAAACCCTACAATATTGCACGAGAACGAGTATCGGGCTCCTTAAGGAAACGTTGCACAACTAACAAACGAGGTGCGTTTTTCCCGCACGCGGCACAACCCGAGAAAGTCCGTCCCGGGCAGCGACGTTCTCGCCACGGCCTTGAGTGCTCACTAACGCCATCAAACTCCGAGGTCCTTTTCGATTTAAAGCTTTCGTGACTGCAGAGATTCATCTTATTGGTTCTTTCTGAATGACGCTGTCTTTCCGACAGACCCTGTTCTTCACCTGAGGACGGCTGCTTGCGTTGTGCCGAAACGTCGTGAGAATTATTTTATTATGTTTTATTTTTATTATTTTACTAGCTGTACTACCCGGCTTCGCCCGGGACTTGTATCCACCACGGCCGCCGCCTTTGTCTCCCCAGTGGCGATGTTAATACGCCACAGCAGTTACTCGTTTGAGGCAGAGTCGACCTAGGGGAGGTTCAAATAATCGTCACCGGTGGTGGCCGTGAGCGGGAATCGAACTGGGTTCGCCGGGTTGGTAGCGCAGCGTAGCGTTAAGCACTACACCCACCGCTCCTCACACAGCACACACGCACAGACACACACACAGACACACACACAGACACACCCAGACACACACAGACAGACACACACACAGACACACAGACAGCACGCTAACCACTACACTATCGCTCCCCACACACCACACACACACACACAGCACACACACAGACACACACACACAGACACACAGACACAGACAGCACGCTAACCACTACACTACCGCTCCCCACACACACACACAGACACACACACACACACACACAGACACACACACAGACACAGACAGCACGCTAAGCACTACACTACCGTTCCCCCTACACAACACACGCGCGCGCGTCCATAGGTACACATACACGCGCTTGCTGCAGACACACACATACACACACATACATACACGCAGACACACACATACACACAAACACACATACATACACACAAACACATACACAGTGACATGCGTATTCCCATCGCGGGGCACGGGACGTGCCTCCCGGCAAATCCCTCGCAAGCGATCGTACACAGATGGACAGACAACTGAACAGTACGACGTTTGGCTGGTAATTGCATCCAGCATCAGCGAAAGGACGTACTCTGAAATGGGAATTGTTGTGGTTTTACGCTTGTACACACCGGTGGGCCAAAGCAGAGACTTATGAGTGTTTTATCAACGGGACACTTTTTGACTGATTGGCCGTGTGGGGTGGTGGAGGGTTACAACACATTAATAATTAAGGCGAGCGAAAGGCAATAAAGTTATTTTTGAAGAATGGTTGCGAAAGCGTACGTGTTACAAAAAGACTCACTTTACTTAAGAAGCAGGCTAATGTGTACATGATAGACTGTCAGTACAGCCACCCAGAAATATAACCAGGCTACACTGTACATTCTAGAGTGGCAGTACGCTCAGCCAGCTTAATGAGTATTTGTTGAGTGAACATTTAAACAAATCCATTATTGGCGCGTGGGTTTAAACATAATTATACAGTAGTTTTTTCATGAGAAATGGTAATTGTTGTGGTTTTCCGCTTGAACACACCGGTGGGCTAAAGCAGTCAAGTCTTAGTCTTTTATGAACGTGACAATTTTGTGCAGATTGGGCGTGTCGGGTGGTGGATAAGGGTGACAACACCTTAATAAATAAGGCGATCTAAACGCAATAACGTTGTTTATGAATAATGTTTGCGAAAGCGTACGTGTTACAAATTGACTAACTTTACTTCCTAACCAGGCTAATGTGTACATGATAGACTGGCAGTACACCCAGCCAGCTGAATAAGCAGGCAGCAGTCTACATAATAGACGGGCAGTACGCTAAAGCAGCTTAATGACTATTTGTACAAAGAACATTTAAAGAATCGATTATAATAACCAGGCTACAGTCTACATTATAGACTGCCAGTACACCCACTCAGCTTCATAAGCAGGCTAGAGTCTACATGATAGAGTGGCAGTACGCTGACAGAGCTTAATAAGCAGGCTACAGTGTACATAATAGACTGTCAGTACGCTCACCCAGCTTAATGAGTATTTGTACAGTGAACATTAAAGTAATCGATTGTTGGCGCGTTGGGTTTAAAAGTAATATTAATAGCACACATTGTGGTGGGGGTGTAGTGAAGAGTAGGAAAAACTTTGATGAATTTACCTCAGAGTGGCGTGGTGGGTGTCGGGCCTAGTAGCGTGCAAAGCCTGCGGCCTCGCCTAAAATTGTCGACTTGGAAGAGGCAGGGTACGGGTGGCGTTCCTTCCCCCCCCCTAGCGCGCCAACAATACTGTGTAATGGCTATTATTTAATTAATTACGGAGCTTATGAAAGTGGCGAAGGCGTGGCTAGCGGTTGGCAGGGGCAACCGCCGTCCAATGAAACTGCAGCCCTTGGCGAAGGCGTCGCTAGCCGTTGCCAGGTCCAATGAAAGCGGCGAAGGCGTCGCTAGCCGTTGCCAGGGGCAACCGCCGTCCAATGAAAGTGCGTATGTTCCGGAGACACACAGACACACAGACAGACAGACAGATTCACGATTTTATATATATAGATTATTTCCCTTCTACGTGACTTTACCGCCATCTGCATCGCAAAGGCACAGTTCCAGCAGCAGTACTGACCATCTCACAACTCCTCCTCTCCCGCGGCCCATCCTGGCTCCTCCCCCCTTAACCAGTATATAAGGTCGTGCCTCTTGGTACTTCTCTTCACTTGATACAGATATTTTGCTGTGACGGTTTCACCTGAAGACGGAAGCTTGTGTTGCCTCCGAAACGTCGTGATTTTTATTCTTTTATTTTTATTAATTTTAATTTCATTTTTTACCTACGTGACTTTACCGAAAAAACCTAAGAGTATCTACCGAAAGAACCAAGAAGATGACTCCGGGGTTGCTGTGTCGCCTTGCCGCAGGTGAGCGTCGTCGTGTCCCTCATCACCATGCTGGCTCCCTCCGCCTTCGAGATCATCGCGGCGCTGGAGCAATACCACCCGCGCACCACTCTCCGCTTCCAGCTCGCCAGGTGCCAGAACCCCTCCACCCCCCACCCCCCCTCTCCCCCCCCCACCATTTATTGTGAAAATTCCGTCACAGTCCTATGATCACTGTTTCATTGGTTTCATGGCTTTATTTTGGTGATTTCGAAAAGTGTATTGGTTTAGCCATGTTTGTTTGTTGTAGTACAGAGTTAGACGATGGCCTTAATCTAAGTTGTCTTGTGGTTGTTGTTGGATGTTTGACTTGCATCCCACTGGGATTTTTGCACACAGCGTTGGTGTACGGTGTTTTTTTCTGCAATATTTTGTTGTCTTTTCTTGGATTTTCTGTTTGCACTCAGTCACATATTCACTTTAAGATGTTTTTTTGTTCATGTTTTTTGTTTGTTGCGGTTGCACCCGATTCAAGAGCCGAATGGCTCGCAGGGATATACCTAATAAATGAACTTGAACTTGAACCTTCATCTCCTCTCGTTATCCGCTACGAAACTGTTCCACGGGACTCCTTCTGTTCCCTCCAACCTCCTGCCTCGTGCATTCTCTCTCCGAATTTAAACTCCTCCTGAGAACCCATCTCTTACACTCGGCTTTCCGCGCACTCTCCTCTGTTGCATTTCTTCTGCTGCTGTCGTGCCCTCTGTACTTTTTTATTCTTAGGTTTTTTCGGTAAAGTCACGTAGGTAAAAATTAAATTAATAAAAGTACAATAAAAATCACGACGTTTCGGAAGCAACACAAGCTTTCGTCTTCAGGTGGAACCGTCACAGCTGTATCAAGTAATCGTGCTGTGACGGTTCTACCTGAAGACGGAAGCTTGTGTTGCTTCCGAAACGTCGTGATTTTTATTTTACCAGTATTAATTAAACATTTTACTTACGTGACTTTACCGAAAAAACCTAAGAATATGAATCCTTGCAGTCACGAAAGCTTCAAATCGAGAACTCTGTACTTTTCTCCGTCTCCTTGCCGTGCTTCCTCTTCCCAGCCCCCGTAACTCGTTGGCTTGTGAGCTCTGCGGACGAGGAGGCAAATCATGCCCTCCACTGTTTGCCTGCCTGTCTACTTTTGTTTCGTTTTTAGATTTTCAAACAGATTTGAAATTGGTTGTGTTCGTGTAATGCTTAAAGCGATGTAGAAATAATGGATGGTGATAATGATGATGTGAACTACCTCGCCTGGAATACATGAGGTCGTGGGTTCGATCCCACCCTGATGCCTGTATATTGGAGTTTGCATGTTCACCCCGTGGTTGCGTGGATTTTTCTCCGGGTTTTCCCCTGCACATTTAGAAACATGCGATTAGAGTCTTTGGCTGCTATAAATTTCCACGTGATAATCCACTTCGTTGAGCCATCATTTGTGGCCAGGTCGCTTCTGAAAAAGAGCTACATAGCTCAGTGGCCCTTACCTGCTAAAGTAAAATGAAATAAAAATTTGTTTTAGGATAGTTTAGATTTTGTATTATTAGTAGTAATGTTTGTCAAATTCTCGCAGTCTCGTGGAGACGCTATCCGTGGTGCTAAGCGTGTGGCGTGTGTCGTCCCTGGCAGGGTCTTGGTTCTGTACCTGGGCAATCTCTACAGCCTCATCATTGCCCTCCTGGACAAGGTCAACATCATGAGTGCCATGGTGAGATGCCACATGTCACGTGTTGTTATTATCATTGGATAGGTTACAAATCACCCCCGTTCCCCCGTCCCCACCGTCTGGCTTCCCCAAACCAAGAGGCTCATGGCAATTATGCTACCATCACTCACCGTGCTGGTCAGTGCATATCCGTGAAGGCAGTGAGAATAGAAGTACAGTACAACAATGGATTTTGCTGCACAGCCCACTGCTGCCTATAGAGAGTCCCACAGCCTAGAACACCTGTCATTCATGGCGGTTGCCCATCCAAGCACTATCCAGGCTGATACCCGCTTAGTTTCATAAGAGATTGGGCTGATTCTGAATTATTTTGGTCACAGGGCCATCTCCTGTTAGGTAAGCTCCGGTTAAGGGAGACCGACAGAACCGTGGTTGTCTTCAGGTGAACGGCACAGAGAAGAACGCGCAGGACCGGACGGTGCGTCTCGGCGGGGACACTCCCAAGTCGTCATCCCCTCCCACAACTCCACCACGATCGCCCCGGCGCTGACGTCACCGTCACCATCATCACCACCTGTCACGACAGTCGATCTGGGCCAACTCACGAATTCCACCTTTGACCTCATCACCGCCGCCACGACCGCCGCCACCACCACGGCAGCCGCCACGGTCGCCTCCGCCGCCACCGCCGCCGTAAACCTGACGTCCGTGCTGGTGTCGACCTTCTTTGCCAACCTCACGGCAATCACGACCTCCTCCTCCTCCTTCTCCTCCTCCTCCTCTTCACCCTCGTGGAACAACACGACGCCCGGACCGCACGATAGCGTCCTCGAAGGCCCCGTGGCGGGACGGAGGCGACGGCGCTGAACTTTACGGTGGCGGCGGCGAGGGTGGTGGCGGCGGTGGTGGATTGGGCCAACCGGACGTCCTCCCTGGCGCTGAGCTCCACCGGGAATAAGCCCGTCTCGAACACGACCACCGAGATGTCGTACTCGTCCAAGTCGTCGGAAAACCAGTGCTGGGAGACCTACGTTGGGCAGGTGATTGTCGCGTGCGAACGTGCTGTATGTGTGTTGAACTTATTTTGCACCGTCACGAAGTCAAGCGTGCAAATCGGAGGTGCGGGGGAAGGACAACAAACTGAACACAAAAAGCAGTTCGAAAGAAATTCGTTTTCTATGTCGATTTAAAAGTGCATAGCTCAGCTGGCTTCCTAATATCAGAAGAAAGAGCGTTCCAGACGGCCGCAGAAGCGCATTTGAAAAGCGCGCGATGCAGTGCCAGTCTTTGTTCGATGGCTAGCCAAAAGCTGCTGCGTAGAACGATCGGAGTTTGCGTGATGGTTTATGCTCCTCAACGAGATCAGCAAGGTATTGTGGTTCATTTGTGGCAAGCACTTGTGCGTCATGAGTGTGACATTCTAATGCATTTGTTCGGCAACTTGAAGCCAAAGCGGCTCAGCGAGAAATTCATACTTCGATGTAGCTCATTGCCTGGGCCCCTACGCTCCTTCAGGGCTGTGGTGCAGTGATGCAAGTGGACATGGGCACAGAGCCACATTTTGCACGTCCGTTTGCTCGTTGTTTTAGACGTGACGTGGCCACCGTGTAATTGATCAAAGTAATAAAAAGTAGAATTGTTATCCCTATGCTTCGATCAATCAACGTATGACCAGGTGAGAAGCCTGCTAAGACTTAAATGTTCTTTATGAAGGGAGACCTGCTGGACAAATTGGAACAGCAACACAGAAACCCCACAAACAAAACACATGAATCAGTGCTCTTCATTGCAAGGCCCGCGGGCCACTGGAGGCCTTGATGGCCTTTAGTGCGGCCCCCTGACGTGCGGCCTCCGACAAGACACAACACGTGAACACACCCCTTGCATTCTAGATTTGAAGCTTTCGTGACTGCAAGGATTCATACTCTTAGTTCTTTCGGTAAAGTCATGTAGGTAAAAAATGAAATTAAGATTCATAAAAAATAAAATAATAAAATCACGACGTTTCGGAGGCAACACAAGTCTCCGTCATCAGGTGGGACCGTCACAGCCAGATTTACCTACGTGACTTTACCGAAAGAACTAAGAGTATATAACACCCCTTGCAGCGGGCAGTGTGGCGCACCTCAAACTGAAAGTGGTCCCCCCTCTGAAAACGAGTGAAGAACATTCACACGAATAAACACCACCATAACAACAAAAATGGGTGTTGCCATTATTATTATGTTCCCTGCTGAAACACGTGTCACCCCCTCCCCTCCCACCCGCCACGGTCCCCTGCAGGAGATGCTCAAGCTGTCGATCATCGACATGATCTTCACGGTGGCCAGCGTGCTGCTCATCGACTTCTTCCGGGGCCTCTTCGTTCGCTTCTGCAGCGACTGTTGGTGCTGGGACCTCGAGAGCAAGTTTGTGAGTTTACGTCGGTTTGTGAGTTTACGACGAGGTTTGTGAGTTTATGTCTGTTTATGAGTTTACGACGAGGTTTGTGAGTTTCTGACAAGGTTTGTGAGTTTACGACGAGGTTAAAGAGGCAGCGCTCGGGCAGTGTGTCCGTTACCGCTACGGTCACCTCTCAAAACGCTGGTCAGTGCGGTTTGCTGAATGTATGTACTGTATGTTGAACTTCTTTTGCACCGTGCATAGCCAACTGTGAATGGTGGGTGGGGGGGGGGGAGGCAGAACTAGGGACCAGTTTTAGAGATTACTCTCCACTGACTTAGCCATGGCTAGGAATTGAACCTGGACAGCTGAGATTCAGTGAGCGGTGTTTGAACTACCGCACCAACAGTAAACGATTTCTAAAGTGGATTTCAGCACTCCCTTATCAAGGGAGACCTGGTGGAAAAATGGGAACAGCAAAACAAAAACCCACAAAACAGAACACGTGAATCAGTGCTCTTCATTGCAAGGCGGTGTTCGAACTACCGCACCAACAGTAAACTATTTCTAAAGTGGATTTCAGCACTCCAGTTTTGCACGCACCGCTATTTTAACGATGATTTTTTGAAAAAAAACATAATGACGGGCGTGCATAGCTACGTTGTTGCTGTGTCGCATCTAACGGGCCACTGCCTCGGTTGAAATTGTCGAGCGCCTGGCGTTGGGAGAGGCGAATGTGAGCGTGTGCCTCTGCCCTCAGCCCGAGTACGGAGAGTTTAAGATCGCCGAAAACGTTCTCCACCTCGTCTACAACCAGGGCATGATCTGGTGAGTCAGCGCGCGGCGGTTAGCACACTGCGCTCAGAGCCCACTCTCCTGAGTTCGAATCCCGGCCACGGTCACCGTCAGCGGCGAGTGGCATCCGGTTGTCAGTCGCCGTTGAAAAATATCTTCTCGGCTCAATGGGGCTTACCCAAAATAAACCGACTCACTCATCTGCCGGATAAAGAAAGGAGGTTTTTTTGCCAGATTGATAGTGCAGTTCTCTAACCACTTTGCCACCACGACGGTAGGGATTTGGACTTGATGAACGTAGAAATGCCACCCCTCGGGTTTTTGCCAGCTTAATGTAGGTTGAAGCCCTGCCCGTTGACCACACCGTAACCCCCCATCCCCGCTTCCTGCAGGATGGGCGCTTTCTTCTCTCCCATTCTGCCCGCGTTCAATGTGCTCAAGCTCATCGGCCTCATGTACCTGCGCAGCTGGGCCGTGCTCACCTGCAACGTGCCTCACCAGCAGGTGTTCCGCGCCTCGCGGTGAGAGAGGCCGCCGGCGACTCGCGAGGCTATGCATGTTGAACTTCTTTCGCACCGTACGTAACGGAGGTGCGGGGGAAGGCCGAACAAACTAAATACAAAAAAGAAGTTCTATAGAAATTATTTTTAAAATCTAGATTGAAAAGTGCATCGCTCCAGTGGCTTCCTAATGTCGGATAACGGTGGTAGTCGTAGAGATTACGATGATAGAGTAATGATGATGATGGCGCTAATGGTGGTAGCGATTATGATGATAGCGTTAGTGATGATGATGATGGCGCTAATGGTGGTAGCGATTATGATGATAGCGTAGTGATGATGATGGTGGTAGCGATTATGATGATAGCGGTAGTGATGATGATGACGCTAATGGTGGTAGCGAGTATGTTGATAGTGGTAGTGATGATGATGCTAATGGTGGTAGCAATTATGATGATAGCGGTAGTGATGATGACACTAATGGTGGTAGTGATTATGTTGATAGCGGTAGTGATGATGGCGCTAATGGTGGTAGCGATTATGATGATAGCGGTAGTGATGATGATGGCGCTAATGGTGGTAGCGATTATGATGATAGCGTTAGTGATGATGATGATGGCGCTAATGGTGGTAGCGATTATGATGATAGCGGTAGTGATGATGATGGTGGTAGCGATTATGATGATAGCGGTAGTGATGATGATGACGCTAATGGTGGTAGCGAGTATGTTGATAGTGGTAGTGATGATGATGCTAATGGTGGTAGCAATTATGATGATAGCGGTAGTGATGATGACACTAATGGTGGTAGTGATTATGTTGATAGCGGTAGTGATGATGGCGCTAATGGTGGTAGCGATTATGATGATAGCGGTAGTGATGATGATGGCGCTAATGGTGGTAGCGATTATGATGATAGCGTTAGTGATGATGATGATGGCGCTAATGGTGGTAGCGATTATGATGATAGCGGTAGTGATGATGATGGTGGTAGCGATTATGATGATAGCGGTAGTGATGATGATGACGCTAATGGTGGTAGCGAGTATGTTGATAGTGGTAGTGATGATGATGCTAATGGTGGTAGCAATTATGATGATAGCGGTAGTGATGATGACACTAATGGTGGTAGTGATTATGTTGATAGCGGTAGTGATGATGGCGCTAATGGTGGTAGCGATTATGATGATAGTGGTAGTGATGATGACGCTAATGGTGGTAGTGATTATGTTGATAGCGGTAGTGATGATGGCACTAATGGTGGTAGTGATTATGATGATAGCGGTAGTGATGATGACGCTAATGGTGGTAGCGATTATGATGATAGCGGTAGTGATGATGACACTAATGGTGGTAGCGATTATGATGATAGCGGTAGTGATGATGACGCTAATGGTGGTAGCGATTATGATGATAGCGGTAGTGATGATGATGGTGGTAGCGATTATGATGATAGCGGTAGTGATGATGACGCTAATGGTGGTAGCGATTATGTTGATAGCGGTAGTGATGATGATGGTGGTAGCGATTATGATGATAGCGGTAGTGATGATGACGCTAATGGTGGTAGCGATTATGATGATAGCGGTAGTGATGATGACGCTAATGGTGGTAGCGATTATGATGATAGCGGTAGTGATTATGACGCTAATGGTGGTAGTGATTATGATGATAGCGGTAGTGATGATGACGCTAATGGTGGTAGTGATTATGATGATAGCGGTAGTGATGATGACGCTAATGGTGGTAGCGATTATGATGATAGCGGTAGTGATGATGACGCTAATGGTGGTAGCGATTATGTTGATAGCGGTAGTGATGATGATGGTGGTAGCGATTATGATGATAGCGGTAGTGATGATGACGCTAATGGTGGTAGCGATTATGATGATAGCGGTAGTGATGATGACGCTAATGGTGGTAGCGATTATGATGATAGCGGTAGTGATGATGGCGCTAATGGTGGTAGCGATTATCATGATAGCGTAGTGATGATGATGATGATGGTGGCAGCGATTATGATGATAGCGGTAGTGATGATGGCGCTAATGGTGGTAGCGATTATGATGATAGCGGTAGTGATGATGATGATGGTGGTAGCGATTATGATGATAGCGGTAGTGATGATGATGGTGGTAGCAATTATGATGATAGCGGTAGTGATGATGATGGTGGTAGCGATTATGATGATAGCGGTAGTGATGATGGCGCTAATGGTGGTAGCGATTATGATGATAGCGGTAGTGATGATGATGATGGTGGTAGCGATTATGATGATAGCGGTAGTGATGATGATGGTGGTAGCGATTATGATGATAGCGGTAGTGTTGATGGCGCTAATGGTGGTAGCGATTATGATGATAGCGGTAGTGATGATGGCGCTAATGGTGGTAGCGATTATGATGATAGCGGTAGTGATGATGATGATGGTGGTAGCGATTATGATGATAGCGGTAGTGATGATGATGATGGTGGTAGCAATTATGATGATAGTGGTAGTGATGATGACGACGGTGTTGGTGGTGGTGCACTTGTGAAGCGGCGAGATGAATTGAGCGCTTTGCGTCGCCTTGCAGCTCCAACAACTTCTACTTGGCCATGCTGCTCTTCATGCTCTTCCTCTGCATGCTGCCCACCATCTTCTCCATCGTCAGATACCGCCCGTCCAGTGGATGCGGCCCCTTCAGGTAACGCTCGCTGCCTCCCCCGTGTATTTCTTGCTGTCGCTCTGGCGTGTGCAATACAGCCCGTTCAGAGCTAATACCAGCAAACAGGCTTCACGTTGGAACCAATACCACAAAGCCCTATCCATCTTTTAGGTTTTTTCGGTAAAGTCACGTAGGTAAAACATTAAAATTAATAAAAGTAAAATAAAATAAAAATCACGACGTTTCGGAGGCAACACAAGCTTCCGTCTTCAGTGGAACCGTCACAGCCACAACAGCTGTATCAAGTAAATGAGAGATTGCAGGAGCTACCACTCCTTTTATATAATGGTTGGAGAGGGGGGGGAAGGGCCAAGTAAAGCATACTTTTATTCATATGGTAAGGTGAGGCTATCCATCTCCGGAACAACTTTCATTCTAATTAACTGCGTCTATTCGGGTACAAAGAGATACATTTGAAAAGACGGGATAGATCTCAAATCCCGACGTGTTTTCGGGCCGCACCGCGCGTTCTTGTTCCGTCATTGACGTGCTACGCCACGCACCGTGAACGTCTTCTGGAACGAGGACGCGCCCAGCACGCGGAGGGACGAAATGTCGGACATCGAATCCATACGGCCCGGAAGACACGTCGCGGAGACGTACGGCACGACGCCGAAAACCTACGCGGCAGCGGCGGTGCGCGTCTTCGCCGAACGATGAGCGTGCCTAACGGTTCTCTTCCCCTCCACCCTCCGTCAGCGGCCAGGAAAAGATCTACGACATTGTGTCGGACACGATCAAAACGGAGTTCCCGTCGTGGTTCAACTCGGTGGTGAGCTACGTGACCACGCCCGTCGTGATCCTGCCCGCTCTGCTGCTGCTCTGTGAGTGAGTCAGAACGTGACTCATTGTGAGTGAGTCAACTCGTGACTCATTGTGAGTCAGCACGTGGTCCTTGTGAGTGTGTGAGGTTGTCTCTGCACAGATTGTGTAAGATTGTCTCCTGTGTAATTTTGTGTTTAACGCTGTCTGTTGGGTATTGTGGCATATATTAATTACAATTCTTAAGCTCACGAGACATGCATCAGTATTTCAATATTCTTCTAATAATATACTCATGCTGTATGCAATGGGTTTCTGTGATTGCTGCGTTCATTAGGGACTGCATGTTTTTCCCGCAATTTTAAATACGATCGGGTTTCTTTAATAATTGATTGTTGAATCACATCGCAAACCCTGAATCCTATCGACGGGGGGGGGAGTGCTGTGGGCTGTTGTACGGTTAATTGAGGTGGAACGATGCATTGATTTATCGGTTAACATCGATTCTTGAGCTCATAAATGTGAAGTGTGATTTTTTTCATTCAAACTTATATGTATGTATGTGTGTATATATATACAAACTCAGTTTATATGTGACCGATTGTCCGTGAAATTTGTTTATCTGGGTTTCGGAAAAACACTATCTCAAATATCCGGCGGGCAGAGCCATCCAACTATCGGGGTTCAGTCAAACAGAGTTATCCGGAACATTCTTCTCATCATCATCCAGGACTATTCGCGGTCACACCATCTGGCTCAACGAGTGAATCCGGTTGGGACCCCGGATACTTGGAACCGGGGCACTCCCCACCACCCCTGGTTTAACCCGGATAAACAGAGTTTGACTGCATACGAACTGAGCAGTGGCAATGTCACAAATGCGTGCCAGAATGTCTGGAATTGGCAACGTTTTTTTGCAAGCAGGTCGCCATCCTGACAAAACCAACGCGGTAAGTCTTCGGGGTGAGTTGAGGCTTTCCCCGCGTGACGCGCCCAGCGTCGTTCAGCTTGACAGCGGAACAATATCAGACAGCAGAGGGCAACTGCTCTCCACTCGTGGCACCGACGCACCAGAGAGCAGTAAGGGTTCTTGCACTACGCACGGTACGATCTTCTTTCGCGTCGTACGTAGCCAGCTGCGCTCATCGGAGGATGAGGTTAGAATTTTGAAGCCGGCTCTGGCCTTAGCAAAAATGTGTGGCGTCTCGGCATGTCGTGTGTAATTAAACAAACGCTAAAGGCTCCGAGAAATTC